TCTATTTTTTTACTTGCAAAACTGTGGTACACAAAGAGAGCAGCAAAATACTCCTGAACTGTCAGATGCACAAAGCAGTAGAGTTTCTTACTGTTGAACACATTATCTACTTTGAATATCTCTGTGCACAGCCCACAGTAAACTCCAGCTTGGTCTATGTCAATGCCACTGTTTTTTCAGAATATCGCCAGAGAAAACAAGGTCACCTTTATTCAGTTGTTCAAATGCCATCCTGCCTAGTTTGAGAAGAAATTCTTCGTTTGTCTTGAAGATTACATCTGTATCTGACTCATCCTGGCTGCCATACAGTACTTGTCAAAAGCTACCTGCACTTGAATAAAAAGGAAGTGTGTGTACATCTCAGTAAGAGGTGTAGGGATCTTTATGTTTTCATCTTGAGTGTTGCCCGTTTTAAATAATCCAGAACCTTTGCTGCAATCCAACAGAAGATAGGTATGTGACACATTATGCACAAGCTCTGTGACGTCAAAATGTGGTCAATCCATTCTATATTGCTGCAGAAGTTAGTCATGAAACTTCCATCAAATCATCACTCCATTTACACCAACAATCCCTGAAAAAATCTGTGCGCAGTGTAGGATGGGTGCAAAGATATTTCTCATTTTGTAATTTTGTAAAGAAAAACATATTTCTGCATAACAGAAATATGTGTTTTTCTTATGATTTCTGTGCTTTTTGACAGGCAGGACTTTCAACCTGCTACCACTATACTTTGGGCCCAACGAGCAGGGACGAAAGTACATTTGCGTGACTTGTATTTAAAGCAGGATTATTTCGGGGTGGTACACTTGTTCACAGAAATGTCTGTGGATATTGGCAGATGACATGTGTAAGTGTCCTCAAATGAAATGTGATCAGAGAAGGTACATTTGTTCTCACACAATCAGGGGAAAAGCAGAAAGTGGCACTTTTGACCCAGATCTCCCCTTTACATTTTCACACGTTGGTTTATTACTACACTAATCATTATAAACATTATATTATTACCCTATAAACAGAGGTCAACTCAACTCAGTAGACCTCACATACTTTAAACATGTTGCCGGCTCAACTTCCAGGAAGATTTTGAAGAAGGCAGATTTGGCTTTCATACTTGTGAGGGCCCCATAGAGCTCCCTCATCTGCTCCATACTGGTCTTTGCAGCCTTGATGTTGGTATACATCTCTTTATGGAGTATTTTCTGCTGGCACAGCTGGTCTGCTTTTAGCATGACTGAAGTGGCCTGCTGAATGAGTTCAGCCATGTTGGCGTCCACCCAGGCACCTTCTTTAAACAGACAAACGCATCGCAGTTTAGACACCTAATTACAAGCATCCAACAGAATGAATGGCTTCTAAAGCATGAATATAATTGTTATGGACTGGCATTTTATGATCAACAACTGAAATCAAGATAATGTTTGCACCTTAGTTTATTAACTTGATCTCACCTTTTTCCTCTGTGTTGACTGAAACAGGATCGTGGACTTCACAAGGACTGACAAACAACAAAACAATAATGTTTTACAAAATCAAGGGTTAAAAATTCTAGTAACTACTAGTATTTATGTTGACAGTACATTTACACTAAATACACCAACCAGCCACTTTAATATTCACACCTGTACAGATCCTAATATTCTGAGCCTCTCATGTGTGTAGCTGGGAGGACAAAAGTATAAAGATACCTCTGAATATAATGTAGTCCACTGAAGTGCATATAACTGTACAGGTGTACCTAATAAAGTGGCCAGCTACTATGTGTATATATACATATATACAGTGAGGAACAGAAGTATTTGAACACCCTGCGATTTTGAAAGTTCTCCCACTTAGAAATCATGGAGGGGTCTGACATTCACATTGTAGGTGCATTCCCACTCTGAGAGACAGAATTAAAAAAAAATTCAGGAAATCACATTGTATGATTTTTAAAGAATTTATTTGTCTTGCACTGCTGAACATAAGTATTTGAA